TGTGAATAAAACACAAGAGAAGGAAATATGAATTTCATATTGGGGTAAAAGTATCTAATTAAAAATATGAGGATGTAAATGAGGACAAAGTAAATTACAGGAAAAGTTTGAGGCAGGTTTTGCATTGAAAATTTTGTGGTGCTTTGACATGCTGGGGTCCGCATTAAAGGGGTTGGGGAAGATGATGGTTACAATCATCCCAAATAAGTACTTTGCCAAATGGAGCTAAGTATACCTGAGCTACTAAAATACTGAACTTAACTTAACTGAACTTAAGTGTAAGCTCTTGGACAAATTACATTGATTTCTTGTTTTGTGATGAAGGTCTGATAGGAGTTATTTTTCCCTCTCGATGGCAGTCCCCGTCTTTTTGTCTGATCTTCACAGCCTTCAAAAAGCCAAACTGTCTTTATATACATCTGCCATTTTCCACAAATGCCACCATGAGACCAAAGGAGTTCATTTAAAAAGGAGCATACTTTTTTTTCCGAAAGATTAAAACACACATCGTTATTATGGGATTACAAGGATTCAAAGTGACTTTTCAAAAAGGAAATATCCCTGTTTGGAAAGTTTCACATGATGGTTTCTTTCCCTTTAACCAAACTTCGAATCTGTATCGGAATAAAAATGGAATTAAATCATCTTAAAACCAGTGGAATTTGAATTGAACTATGCTTTTACATTCAGCTGAATGGAAGGAGATGGCACACGGAATAATGTCCCCTTTAACCATGGAACAATGGATTTAAATTTGACCGAATCACTGGGATGAACAGAAGCAGCATGGAACCTTTGCTCTGCTGTCAATAGCCTGCACCCTCTCTCTCTGCATCAACAAGGGCCAAGGAACTTTATTTTATCCTAATAACAATTATACTAGTAATAATAATAATGGTAATAATAATAAGAGACTTCTATTAATAATAATGAGGACTATTCTGGTTTCTATACACTGTCTTTGCTTCTATTTGAGTTGCCTACGATATCCTGGCTTCTCGTTCAGCTCTTCCTTAATAAGTACACTTTAACCTGGTGAATAATAAGATATTTATTGTGTGGAAGAGGGAGGAGGGATGGATAAATGGGGGTGGGAGAGAGAGCTTAAGAAACGCGGGACGTTTTAAGGAAGGAAGAACAAGGTCAGGGGAAATAAAGGCAGGAGGAATGATTGGAAGAATGGAGGGAGAGGAAATGAGGCAAATAAGTGAAGGCACATAGATATGCTTGAATGAGGAACAGATGGACTAAAATGGGGATGAGTTTCCCTTTCTATCTATCTGGGAAATCTATTTAAAAGGGAAATTTCACCAGAATTTCATCATGATTTTTTTTTCTCTTGAAGTCGCTTGGTGAGGCGACTTCAAAGGGTTGGCATGAGCAGAGGCTGTTGAATTTTACTCTGGTTAATATACGACTGTCAGCGGTGAAGTAGAGAAATTATGCATGTTTGATCAAAAAAGAAAAAAAGAAAAAACACCGTTACCTGCAACACACACATGCAAGCATACACACATTCACGCACTTAAAAATCAGCTTGTGTGATGAATAGCTGCCAGCTAAAAGTATTGGTCTTGTTTTTGTTGGTCTCTCAGCAGGATGACATCACCTCCTCTTATTTCTTATTTGACTGTTTTATTCATTTTGTCCGTCCTTGTCCTCTTTTTTTCATAAAAAAGCCCTCTGGTTAGGCAGCTGTCCTGGCAGTAGAAAGCCTCAGAGCAGCAATAAATCAGCATTCCAAAATGTCACGACGTCAACCGCTGTGCATCCTGTAATCATAATGTCACGGCCAGAGCTCGGACAGCAGGTGCGCAGTTAAGTGCTTAGCAGTGCCAGCCCATCAATTTAGTATTTAAAAATCAATGTCTTCTTACTTTACATTCCAGTAACAGAGGATGACGTGACAACTGCTTTAATACTGTTTGATTTTAGTAATTGTGAGAAATTAAGACACAGTTGGTCGTTTAGATCTTAAAAGTACAAGGATGTTTTATTTTTAATTTGAATTAGCAAACATTTCACAATTTGGGATTTGGATATGTTTTTGGTTTCACATTAACTCTTTAGCCCTTCAAGGTCTGCTAGGAGTAACCTCTGAAGCTCCTATTGTGATTGGCCTGTTCAGTACCATCGATTCCTCCCGTGCATTTCCGGCTACTTTTTCACAGCAGTTTTTGAATTTGTCAGTGAGAGAATAGCAGTCATCCTCTTAGTATAAGGAACAATGAACACAGCATCAATATAAGGATTCACAAATGACAGCAGATTCCTGGAGGTAGATTGTTGAAACAATCAGAGTAGACGTGAGGGAATGTACAAAGGAGTGGGACAAAAATGTTTTCCCTCCGAACGAATAAAAAAAAGTGCAACAAAGACAGCACACCGAGGAGGGAAAAAATGTTCCTTTTTTTCTATCTGCTGGCACTGAAACATCTGGACACGGCCACGCTGTAATCAACACATAATGCAGCAGCACACAAGCACGTCAGCCATGGTTACATCGTAGGCTCTACATGCCTACGAAGTCTAAATCCTCCTCTGCTTTGCATTGCCTTTGTTTGTCTTTTAGACTGCTGCAGCACCTTCTATTATGCTAAATCCATTATTTGATGGATATTTTTGTTTAGTTTTGTCAGTTTTGTTTTTTAATCACTCTCACTCTTTCCCTTTTTCGGTTGTTTTTGAAGGAGACTAATTTTTTTGTTTGGTAGAGTAAACTCAGGCACAACATGAAGTCAGGCTCAACCACAACCCCAGCAGACCAGCTGGTCTTAATGCATTCAGCTGGTGGTTCAGCTGATACCTTGCTATGCATGCCATTGGCAGATCTTATATAGTGTGTGCTATTTAAGCTGCTTTAGCCTGGCTACAGTTGCTGCACATCTGCAAGCTGCTTTGCAACCCTGTCCACTCATAACCCCTCCTTAAATTGATGTGTCTGATGTAATCAATGTCATATTGTTTGTTACTGATACCTGCTCTGTTCTGTGCTGGTCTGAGAACAGAGCAAATACAAATACAAATGACTGCAGATGGAAATACCAATCTTCAGACTGCAGTGTTGCAAAATGGACCCATGGTGTTTCACCGTCATGTTTTATTGCCCAATAGATGAAAATGTCAGCTTGTAATGATAAATTAAAAAAGAGGATTTGTCTGTTGCCACTTTAAAGCATGGCAGAAATTTAGTTTTAGTAATTGCACTCAGTGCGCTTTACATAACATTCCTCATTCACCCATTCATACAAGCGCTTTTTTATGGTTTTTCTATGCAAGTGCTTTCTATCTAACATTCACACACACTGGGCTGAATGCAGACTAGTGATATACATGGAAATGATGCATCCATGTTTTTAATCACACTAACGTGATATTCATGTTGAGTATCGCCACCAACATCAGTGTTTCCGCTGCTTCACCAGAAAGCAGCACAAGTTAGCAGCCCCACTATGAGTTGTAGTAGTTCCTATGTTTGCCAACTATGCTGCTTTTTACACTATTTTACAGTATATATGTGATATATACATATATCACAAAGCCTCTTTAAAAAAATAGAAGTGTTTTGGAAGCTGATTCAGTAGCAGGGCAGGTGAATGAGTTTCCACCCGTCAGCTCCAGCCTCACCTCACTAACAGTTAGGCTTTAAATCTGCACATTAAAGAAAGTGCATGAAGCCCATGAAAGAGACATAGTTCTTAGTGGATTCGTATTGTAGGATACAGCCCAGATCGCCGTTATTTTTCTCAATGAAAAGCTTGCAAACACAGCAAGTGAAGATGAATGTCAGTGAAGTTGCCACGCAGGGCTGTAATTTTCTTCAATTTATTGGTGTTAATTGTGCAAATGACAAATTTAAAATCTTTGAGTCTGCCCTCATGCTCACAAAGTCTTAAAGCTACACCAGTTAATAGGAATGACTGTGCAATTTGAATTGTGTAGTTATTGGTAGAAAAACTTGCTACTTGTCTGCCGGGTGTGCAAATGACTGCACACACACACTCCCCGTGAAAATGCTAAAAAGTGATAATACATCAGTGGTGTGTTTTCAGGTTGTTGCACTACACCCAAGTGGCCCAGAGAAAATCAATTAATCCAGCTCTAATGCATCAGGATATTAGAAAACTGTGGATTAATATTTGAATAATCTTTTGATCTTGTGTGAGGCTTCAGGCATTTAATAAATCGATGTTTTGATCGGCTGGCTCGCAGACTGGACTTATGCTGAGCAGGAAGGAGTTTAAGAAATGTAATGGCTTCTAAAAACGCTCCTTAAAGTGATAATCAGCATCAATGATTGCATCAGTGGAGTAAGTAAAGCTCTGGATGATCTGCAGTGAAAATGAGAACCTGGAGGAAAAGGAGGGCACAAGTAGAGGTGCATTTTATTAAACAAATCTTAACATTCAAACTAAACACAACAGAAAGGACAAATCTAAACTAAGGTACAACCCAGGGTCGGCGCCGTGAGAGAGATTCAGCTGAGGAGTTGAGGGGTGATGTAGACAATCTGATAAAGACTGAAAGGAGAACATAAACAAAGGCC